CACAGAGAGGTTAAGTAATATACTGAAAGTCACTCAGCCTGGTGAGGGGCAAAGCCATCATTTCAACATGGGTCTGTCTTCTTAACTGCTGTTGAGCCTGTAAGGGGCCCTGATATTTAGTTGTAGAGGTAAGGACAGAAGCAAGTAACCAGTAGGTAGATGTTACTGGTGGCCTGCACAGTATCTAAAACATTTAAAAAGTTATGTGCTAATATTTAAAAACTGAGGGATTTTTTTCCCACAAAAATCTGGATTATTGATGTATTTGTCAGGGTTCTCCAGAGAAACAGAATCAATAGGATATATATGCAAATATATAGAAAGAGGTTTACAAAGAGAGACTTGATCATGTGATTATAGGATCTGCTGTCTGCAAACCGTCGGTACAGGGCAGCTGGTGGTGTAATTCTGTCCAAACCCAAAGCCAGAGAACCAGGTGAGCCATCGGTAGAAATCTGAGTCTGAAGGACTCTGGAGCCCAGAGTGCCAATGTCTGAGGGCAGGAGATCTGATGTCCTAGCTCAAACAGAGAGAGCAAATCCACCCTTCCTCAACCTTGATGTCCTATTTAGGGGCTTGGTGGGTTGGGTGACGCCCACCATCTTGGTGAGGGTGATCTTTACTCAGTCTACTGATCCAGATGCTAATCTCTTCCAGAGATACCCTCATGGACACACCTAGAAATAACATTTTACCCACTATCTGGATATCCCTTAGCCCAATCAAGTTGACACACGAAATTAACCACCACAACCAGCTTCTCTTGAACACAACTCGGGATATTTGATACAGCAGTAGGATGTACATACCACGATGCTTAGCTGGAGCCGAGTAGTAGCTCCTCACTTTAGGAGAGCACTGTGTCCCTTCCCCACCCCCACCACTTCCTACTGTCCTAGGCTTCCTCCCCTTTGCTCACTCATGCTGGGCCCCGCAGGATATCTGAGTTTGCAATCCCTGCACTATGAAGCATGATGCATAGGACAGAAAAGATAAAATCAGAGTCTTTTGGAAGTGCAGACAAGAGAGTTGGAAAAAACCATAAAGCAGGCCATGTCTAAATTGGGTGTTCAGGGTGAGAGTAACCTTATTAAATGGCAGAGAAAGAAAGGTATTCCTGGCAGAGAGTTCAGCACAATTTGGGAGGACACAGAATATTGCTCCCTTCTCTTGTGACATTTGTGCAATTTGCCATAGTTGGTTATCTATTAATTCATCTGATACTAAAGAAAAGGGAAGAAAAAAAAACCCATCTGTTCTCTGTAATCACCATACCCAGCCTGGGCTTTTGGTACAGCTTTAATTTCCCTCTTCTTCTATTGATCAAACCAAAAAAAAAAAAAAAAAAGTTTTGTCTTGTTTTGTTTTTTTTGAGAAAAGATTCTTTTAAGCCAGCATTTTGCTTCCTTGTCTGATGCTTGCTTTGTATAGAAATTGATTTGTTTTCTTTCCGGCATGCTGGGGAATTTACCCTCCCTGCCCTCACCTCAGTTTATGCCACAGCTTGAGGCTCTCAAATTGAAAGCTCACGACAGGCAGGCTCTGCGAAGAAAGACATGTGCAGACTGTCTGAATTTGAATCCTGCATCCATCACCCCTAACTGTGTGCTTCTAGGAGACATCCTTAACCTCTCTGAGCTTCAGCATCTTCATCTGTAGAATGGCAATAACAGAAATCTCTACCTTTTAGAGTTGTTAGGAGTTGTTATCTGAGGAGCAGTTGGCCCAAGGGCTGGGATATGGCTCAGCACGTGTGGGCTGTTATCACGACACTACTCAGTGCCTGGCTCCGTGCCAGCTATCGGGGAAACCAGAGAGAGTGGTCCCAGCAGCAGGGGCGGGGGGCTAACCAGCTGGCAGGAAGGCATCAGGAAAGTCTGAGAGGACAAGAACACTTTGTCTGTAAACCCCTTACTTTTTCATCATAGATGGAAATGCCAATACCACCAACCCGAGTCTAAATCCTCAGTCCAGAAATGTCGCTTTCCACTGAACTTTGCTGGAAACTTCATGCTGGGGAGATAGACACATCAGTGCACAGATGCTGGACCATTCCATGCTGATTTCTTAGCTGTGCTTTGCGTGCTTTCATTCCCTTTAAGGAAAGCCTAGTAGTGAGGGGCGAGACGGTGGCGGAGGTGGGGAGGGGAAGGATGTCTGGCAAGAGATACGCTGGAGATCATATTTAATGTGGCCCAGTGATAAATCAGTGTTGCATTGGGCATGCACTTTTGCTTAGGGGAGCACAGTCACAACAGATGTATGAAAAACCAAACCAAAACCAAACCAAACCAAACTGCGGCGGGGGAAGCAGGTGGTGGTGTCAACTTTGGGCAACAAACCCCAACCACGGATTCTCCAAGGTGCCTCACTGTTCTGCTGATGGGGAAGCAAATGCCCTCGGGTCTTCTCTCTCCCCCACCCCCCACCACGCTGCTTTTTCACTGTGGCAATGTTTTAGCTGTCACCTTTCAGTGACAAATGTGCCCCCCGTGGGTGTTGAATTTATTCAGCTCGTCCACCTAGGAAAGATTACAAATGAGGAACAAGGGTCAACTCTATGAAACACGCTTGCAAAAGGGAAAAAAAAGGGAGGGCTTGAGAGCAAGGCTGGGGTGGCGCCCTCCTCCTGCGAGGCTCCGAAAGGGAAGCACAGTGAGACAGATTCAATTCTGACTACTGCATATTTACAAAGCGGGGCCAGAGGGCAGTAAGAAGGGAAACGCAGAGCCCTCGCTAGAATAGCGATTCCGGACCATCCAATGTGCACTGAGTTAATTGGCTTGAACGATGAACTATCTGGAATTAATCTGCCATTTCTTTTGTATTCATGTCCGGCACGGGAGGAGTGGACGTGGAGGATGGGCATAGCTGAGCAGATATACCGTGCAAAATAATTCTTTCAAGCAGGCATAGCCAAATGAAGGATGCTCTTTCAGCTAAGAGACTTGACATTCAAGAGGCAACGGAGGGCTGAGGAATGCAAACAGCTGTTACCGACTGGGCTGTTGACAATAAATCTTGGTCGGAGCTACTAAAAAGTCACCCCGTGTTGTGTGGGAAGGCTTCTGCTGTTCTCTTCCTGGGAGAAGGCTTGGTTGGAGGCAGAGAGGGGACAAAGGAGGTCAGGGTGAGAGAAAAAGGTACCACGCCTACTCTGTTCCCCATGGGGATGTTCCTTGGAAAGCCTGGCTGGGGACAGAGAAGCTTTCTGCAGCCTGGGGTGAAGCTGGTTCAATCTCCGCTCTTCCCTGGGCGTCTGCTGCATGCTCAGCATTTACTTAGGTATTACTTTCACTCACCACAAGATGTCTGAAAGTTAGGTAACATTCTATTCTTTTTCAATAAGCTTCAAACTTTAGAATAGTTTCAGATTTAGAGAAAAGCTGCAAAGGTAGCGCAGAGATTTAAGGATCCCCCCACTCTCCCTGCCGTCGATCTCTTATCACTGGGACGCCTTGGTCAAAATGAAGGAACTGCCCTGCTAGGTCGTGGTGTGGACCAATTTTCCCATTCATGTTCTTGTCTTAGTCCTTTTGGGATGCTCTCATAAAAAGACAGTGCACTGAGGGGTGTAAACAACAGACACTTATTTCTCACAGTTCTGGAGGCTGGAAGGCAAGATCAAGGGGCTTGTAAATTTGGTGTCTAGGGAGAGCCTGCTTCCTGGCTCATAGATGGTGTTGCTGTGTCCTCACCGGTGGAAAGGGATGAGGTTGCTCTCTGGGGTCTCTTTTCTCAGGAAGTCCCCTTCTTGGGGGCTCCCAAAGTCCGCACCCCTTGATACTACCACTTTAGGGGGTAGGATGCAACATATGAATTTGAGAGGGACACAATCATCCAGTGACTGGCTGTCCGCCACCTGTTGCAGAATCCCATTCACAGGACCACGCTGCACGCCGCCATCACGCTGCCCAGGCTCCCCTGGCCTATGGCAGTCTCTCAGTCCCTCCTCGTTTCTTGCATCCTTGTTACCTTGAAGAACACTCCTTATGCTTTTTCTAACATCTCAAGAAATGAAGCCTCAGAGGGGCTAAAGGACCTGTCCAAGTTCAGACAGCCCATGGAGACAGTGCCGGATTTCCTCGGAGCCACGTCAAGTCTGGTTCTCAGCCTCGCACCTTAGAACCACCTGGCGGACTTCTTGGGACTCGGCCCCAGAGTTTCAGATCCGGAAGCTCTAGGCTGAAGCTAGGAGTTGCATTTCCAGCAAGTTCTCAGGTGATGGTGACGGTGCCTTATGTCCAGGGACCACATTTTGAGAACCACTGCTTTCGGCCCAGTCCCTTCGGAGCTGTTGATCCAGATCGAATTGCTCAGATAGTTGTCACAGCTCCATGTCTGCTTCTGCAGTGTAGAAATGAAGCTAGACTCTGAAACGACTTCGCCTCCCTCCCCCCCGCCTCCCTCCCTCTCCCCGCATCACTGACGGTATTTGCTGCCCTGGGTAAGTAAGAAGTGCATGCTGCTTGTAACCTGGCAGAGGCTGATTTGTGCCCCATTCCATCACATCTGAGGACAGCTTTGTGGCTTCATGGGAGGGTCTTAGTCTGAAAAAGTTAGCGACTGATTTCTACTTCAGACATGGAGCTAAAACAGTTACTGAAAAACAGGAGACTGACAGATGAAACGGTATAAACTTCATGTAATGCGTTGGAAATTTTAATATATTATTAATCTATAGTTTCTTCTTGAGAAGGTTGCCATATTATTCATTCTAACTTTATTCTTCCTTTCCTGCTTTTTTTTTTTTTAATGCTGCTACAAAACTGAAATGAGCTGGGGCGCCTGGGTGGCTCAGTGTATTAAGTGCCTGACTTTGGCTCAGGTCATGATCTGATAGTTCGTGAGTTTAAGTCCTGCATCGAGCTCTCTACTGTCAGCATGGAGCCTGCTTTGTATTATCTGCCCACTCACCTACCAATTTCTGCCCCTCCCCCGCTCTCGCATGCTCCCTCTCTCTAAAATAAACAAACATTAAAAAAACAAACAAACGTGAAATGAGCTAAAAGCCAAACCTGCAGTTGGTTAACTACTAATTTCAGAATGAAGGCACCGAGGAAAATAAATGCACAATGGAGAGTTGCTGAAGAGGCACACACACTGATTGAACTCAAATTAGTGAATGGCAAAGTAAACCTTTAAGTCCTTTTAACTGCTTCCAGCGACCTGGCATTTACTGAAGCTCCAGGTAAGAAATTACCATGCCTTGTTAGTTACTTAAAAACAAATTACTTACATTGTATGTTGTTTTCTGAGAGCAGTTTGTGAAGGGATAACTCACGTTCCTTGCTTGAGAGGACTTTGACCCTGACACTATTTTCAGTTGTTTCTTTACACAAGGGACTTAAGGAAGAGAAAAATAAAAACACACAGCCTCCTGAGTATTATCTGGAAAAGTGCTGCAAGTTTTCTGAAACTCTTGAAGAATTCATAACTATAAGCACTTCCCCATATTAATGATTAATGCTGTTTTCAAGCTCTCGCTGTATTTCATACTTTGATTAGAAGCGCAGTAGGACTTTTAAGTCGGGCTGATTCCCAATGAAACAGAGAACTTTGGTTGCTTCATTTGTTACCCTGCACGTCTCTGCTCCTTAATCATTTAAAACACTTCCAAACAAATGCAGGTTTCCTAAAACAAAGCACAGATCATGCACAGGGCCCTGGGGCAGGGTGGGGTGGGGGGAGGGCAGAGAACCCCCTTTTGTGTGTGTCAGCACACTGAATCATCCCATTTTGGGGAAGATAATCCGTTTTAATTTTCTTAGACCGTGTTCACTGGCTTTCATTATTTTCTTTACTTCAAAGATCATCTGGACAACTGTTTTTCTTCGCAACAAGGCTGAGGGTGTTCCTCCAGATCCGTCTGATTTCATGGCCTTCGGGGTTGCTTTCATGTATTATGAATTTTTCAACCGGCAGTGTTTATTAGATGGAAACTTACAACTCTTTGTAGAAGTCGTATCTTGCAGAAATTGTTGCTAGGGTAAAACAATAAAAGAAGGAAATATTAATGTTTTCAGAGGAAGGCTGAAGAATGGTTGGCAAAAACCTACGTAGATACAATGTGTTGGATCATGCCTTTGAGATGAGTCATGTTTTCTTTTGGTCTCCTGGTGTTTCTCTCCTCCCCCCCCCCCCCCCCCCATTCAGCAGTGTGTTGGCTCCTTGTTCCTCGCCTTGGGCTGGGTTTGGGGCACACTCTCCTTTTCCTCTCTCCCACTTTGGAATCCTGAACCCATTCATGAGAAGAGGGTTTGACCACAGAGGGCTTTTCCCCAAACTTAGAAAGGGGCCCTTGCATAAGTTCCTGGGTGTCTGAACAGCAGAGACAGCTAAGAGATTTTGAAACAGGAATTGCATAATGCCTGCAGGCAACAGAGCCCACCCTCTCCTAATTTTGTGGCTGGAGCAGTTCACAATATGGTTTACAAAACATAGAGAAGACCAGAGGCAAGCAGTCCAGAGCTGCTGTGCCAATGACACAAAGCAATCAGGGACATCTATCTTTTTGTTCCTTTATCCTCACTTTATGGTTTCCTTTCTCAAGGATGCCTCATATTCCAAGGTGGCTACCAGGGCACCAGACATCACATCTGCATTCTTGGCAGCAGGAAGGTTGAGAGAGTGTCTCTCCCAGGCAAAGCAACTCCTTTCGAAAGATCTACCCCAGAAGTCACTTATAATATATCAACTTACATCTCCCTGGAATTTAGTCACATGGCTGTATCTCGCTGAAAGGAGGACTGGGGAGTTGAGCATTTCTAATGGAGTTCTGTTACTAAGGAAGAAAGAAGGATGGATATTTGGAAAGCAACTAGCAGTGCATGCCACAGACCTGAAGGGGCTAATGGCCTGAAGTGAGGAAAGCTTCATGTGCACTCTATCCACATGAGTGAACATGGACCACTGTGTGCTCTTTGCCTTCCTTGGCACAATGAAAAACCAGTAGAACTTTACCACAACCTTGGGGGTGGGAGTATGGAAGAGCCTAAGGCCTTCAAGCCAAAGGAATGAGGCTTGAAATACAAATTAAGCAGAGTTATAAAGTAAACTTTGACTTCTTAAACACATGAGTTTGGATGGAGATTTGTAATAATTATTGGGGTTGGGTATCTGAAAGTTCCAACCTTCATTTAAATGCTTTCTTTTTTTTTTAAGTTAAGCACCAGCATTTGATTAATTGACTGTTATAAAAAAGCATAATGTTGGAGGGCTTCAGCGGTATTTTCTAAAGTGACCCCACTAATTTCTGGAGACAGGGGCTGTATATTTTACCTCTGCAGAATGCTTGATAAACCTAGTCACTTTGTGAATATTGGTTAAATGAGCAAATCAATGATGGTAATCTAAGAGATTTTAGACCCCCTGTGTTTTCACATCTATTTGTGTCTCTGTATTTGTCTAAACTCCTTTAGTTGCATGTTAAAAAAATTGAAGTCAAAATGGTTAAGACAAAGGGTAATTTATGACTCTTATAATTTAAGTCATAGGCTTCAGGCATGGCTGGATCTAAGCATTTAATGATCTCATCAAAACAAGGTTCTGTATTCTCTAATGAGCTATTCTTTGTATTGGCTCCACTCTCCCCTCTTGGTGGTAGGATGACTGTTAATAGCTCCATGAAAACAATTTTTTTTAGCTTTGAGTCCAGAGGGTAAGAATATCATTTCTTAGGCAGCATCAGAACTCTTTCTCAACTATCTCATTGGCTCTGATAGTCCTGACTTGGCATCAGAAACCTTCTCTGAACATTTCACTAGAATATGATAGGCTTTAAGACTCATGCCCACTGTGTCAATCTGGGCCCAGGCAGTGGAAAGAAAATCATACTATTATTTAAACAGAAATAATTTAAGACAGGTGGTCAAATCCAGTCTTTGGTTGCTTTTGTACATAAAATTTTATTGGGACACAGCTATACCCATACATTTAAGTATTCAGTTTATGGCTGCTTTCAGGACAAAAGAAAGCAGAGTAGAGTAGCTACAACAGAGACCATATGACTCACAAATCTAAAACATTTACGATCAAGGTCTTCATGGAAAGTTTACCCACCTGTACTTTTATATAAATGAGTGACAGCAAAATGAAGCCCTAAAAAGGAACAAAAGAAGAGTCAGCTGTCACGGGGGAAGAACCTGCCGGAAACATCTATCTCTAGGGCTGAAGGAACAAAGGGAAAAGATTAGAATTATTAAAACTTAAAAGTTTGGAGAAGAGGCCCCAGAGAATTGAAGCTTCAGACCTCCAGAAAAGGAATGACTTGGTGCTGGTGTTGGTGTCACTGAGGGGACATGTCCCCTCTTCCTCCTCTAGCCCATGGGTTCCCTCAGTGGCAGAATCCAACTAGGAGCAGCGGTGAAGGAGAAATGTGCTTGTGGGGTCCCAGCATCACAAAGTGGGGTATGGGAACACGGGCTTGGAGTTGAAATATAATCACTAAAAAGCTTGCACAACCCACTCTTTGGCTACTCAATATTCATCCATGCGCTTCTATTTGTATTTGAACTTCTACAGACAACACAGACAACTCTGTGCTTCCACATGACCACACACAGACATTCTGCAATCAAGCAAAGGCATGTATTTCTCAGACGCTCCCCAAAATGAGGAGACTCAAAGACACAACAGTCATTGTGACCATTTGGGGGCTATGTTAATTACTCTCCAAAATCAGCCATTGTGGCATCAGAATATTCTGTTACTTAAAGACCAACTTGTAAAGTTAACTGCCCTAACAAGACTTGTATAAGATATTAGGGAAGAAAAAAGAGAGTATACACACACACACACACACACACCCCAAGCAAGGATGAAATTCAGCGTAGTTCTATAGTTCTTGCTTCTGTAACTGGCCATGATTGTGATGTTGCCTATCAGGTTCCTGAGAACCTTCTCTACTGTGGATTTAGATCTCATAGAGTCATTCTGAGCCTACTCCAGGGTGTCCCTCCGTATATACGTCCCAAGGCTTCCCTGTCACCAGCGTCCCAGGTGTGTCCTTTCTAAGAACAACCCCACACAGCCAAGTGATTAGCAACTGCCCACATATTGGCATGCTCCGGGATTCTAACTCTCTCATGGCCCGGATGTGCTGTCCAAGGTTCTGATCACTGGAAGCGCCTCCTTCACCACTGTCCTTCAGGACCACCTCTCAGTCAGGCTGGAAGGCTGCAGCTGTCGATTTCTGGTTGGCACCAGCAAGGTCTAGCCCTTGCTATTTCTAGGGACACTTCACAGAACACTCTGTCTTCCAGGCCTGTGTGTCTTTGGCTCAGCTCAGAATGTCTTTTCCTTGTTGTCCGTCTGTGGACCTTCTCCTGACCACACTGCAACTTGCTGATGCTGTTGATGGGCACTTGTCTCTGCTGTCACACTTGTTTCAGTGCTTTTATTATTTATGCTACCCAAGAATCAGCTGTGTCCTCTTGGCCCCCTCAGGATTCAGAGCACATCAGTTTCTGTTTCCTCCTCAGAATCCAAAGCCCACCTCAAAAAGTCTGCGTGGTCTTGAGTAGCTTACATTCTCCACTGCCAGTTTTCAAAGCCAGATTTTGCACCTATTTTCTGTGATTTTTTCCACGTTGGTCTGGTTGTGAAATTAAGTTCTGTTGTCAATGTGTAGCAAGTTGTTTTAGATGGAATTGTTTTTTAATCTACTAAGCTTGTTCTTTGTATATAGCAGCGGTCTGTAAACTTTTTTTTGATAGAAAGTCAGACAGTAAATATTTTTGGCTTTGGGAGCCATATGGAGTCTGCAACTACTCATTTCTGCTGTTGTAGTGCAAAAACAGCCACATATCATAAAGAGACAAATGGGTATGGCTGTGTTCCAATAAAACTTTATTAACAAAAGTTTGTGGCAGGCTGGATTGGCCAGCCCATGGACTGTCATTGACTAATCCCAGGCATGTAAGAAGGCTATAGGTTTTGGTTCATGGAAGTTATATTTTTAGTCACCTTACATTCTCTTGCTTAGGGTTTTTTCAGTTCATTCTGAACACTTGAATTTTTTTCAAGGTATACAAACCATATCACCTGATATCTTAGTCCATTTGGGCTGCTATAACAAAACACACAAACTTAAACAACAAACAGCCCAGCTTAAAACACAAATATTTACTTCTCAGAGCTCTGGAAGCTGGAAAGTCCAAGATCAATGTGCAGCAGATTCAGTGTCTAGTGAAAGCCCACTGCCTAGTTCATAGATGGTCATCTTCTTGCTGTGTCCTCTCATGGTGGAAGTGGCAAGGGAGCTCCCTGTGATCTCCTTTATGAGGGCACTAATCCCATTCAGGAGAGCTCGAACTTCGCGACCTAACCACCTCACAAAGACTCCACCTCCTAATACCATCACACTGGGGGTTAGGAAATCAATATATGATTTGGGGGAGTCCTTGTCTGGCCATTCCTGGCCAGTGGTCCTTTGTCTGTTGTCCTTGGCAATGGCAGCCCTGTTCAGCAAGAATCAGATTAGCAGGAGTTCCCCATCTTTGATACCTAACCAAGTTCCTCCCAGTAATTCTCAATCCAATGACTGCCTCACTCTACCCCATTAGCTATAAATCTCCACCCATCACTGTTTTATGGAATTGAGTTGATTCTTGCTCCCCTCATGCAATAGTCTGCAGTAGTCTCCCTTGTCTGTTTAAACTGCCTGGTGCAATTTTTCCTTGACACACCTTAACAATTTTTATTCTTAGTCTCTTTCTTGTGTTTAAATTCATCAGTTTTTGCCTGCTGATCTTTGTTAAATAAAGGCAGTGGCCTTGGATGTATCAGTCAGACTCAGTAGGGAACAGGGACAAGACTCAAGAGGACTGACTGCAGAGATTTCAATGACGGGGCTCTTTCCAAGGTGTGGGTAGGGTTAAGGAAACCCAGCAAGAGATGAAGAAGCATCCCAGGGCTGGCAACAATAGGGTGGCTCTAATGGATACCCCAGACATGAAAATGCAAGTGAAGAAAGCAGTTGCCAAAACTCCACCAGGACAGGAATGGAGTGTCTCACAAGAGCTGTGCCTTAGGCAGAGAAACACATCACTGCTAACCACAGCTAGATGGGAAGGCAGTCTAGTGACTGATGACACTGACCTCTCTGTTCTCCTGCCCCCCCTTCCCCCCCAATCTCCTGTTGGTATCTCCTTTGGAAAAACTTGACCAGAAGCCACAGGGTAAGGGCAGCTGGTGATAGAATCTAAGGAGGTTGGCCAGGGGAGGGGGGTGTCATGAGAATCAGAGAACATGCACCACAGGAGACATTGCTGACTCCTTCTGTCCCTCCGTGAAAGAGTTTTTAGTGTTTGCCAATTAAGCATCTTCCCAGTTTGGGAAGTGACATGGACATATCATTTCATGTTAAGGAAATACTTACTTTCAAAAAGGTGTTTGGTTTTTTTTTTTTTGACAAGAATGGATATTGAATCTTATCAATGCCTTCTATTATCCATACAGATGATATTCTCTTTTACTCTATTAACATGGCAAATTATATTAATAGGGAATATGCTTTGAGGAGCCCTTGCATCCTTGAGAGAAACCCCACTTGGCCATGGAACACGAGTGCTGTTGGTATTTTATTTAGATTTTTACATGGATACTCACAAGCGAAGGAGAGGGTGGTCCATTATTTTCTTCCATGTTTTAGTTTTTTTTGGTTTCGTGAAAACACACATAGCCTTTCTTCCTTTTTGTTTTTGAAAAATCTATTCTCAGCTTGGGTTACTTTTTTGCCCTTTGCCAGCTAATCTTGGAAATGCATTTCCTCTAAAAACTAATGTGGGAAAATGTTCTACTTCAACAATACGGGTTTGCCTATCTTAGATGGGTCAGGATAGTCTGGATTAATCTCCAATTCATAGGGTTTGAGGGAAAAGTAGCTTGAAATAAGCCTGGAGAGGTAGCAGTGACCTTCAGGCAAAGCTTTGCAAGGATATGCTTCCATTTTAAGAACAAAAGTCAGTGAAGGGTTTTCAATAGAGCAGTTGCACAATCAGATTTTACCTTCTGAAGATCTCATGCTGCTTTATCATCATGGGAAAATTACTCTTCTATGGTTTAGTTTCCACATCTGTGCATCACAGAAAAAAAATCTGTTACAATGTCTGAGAAAATCATTTTAGGTAAATGGTATCTATAAAATATTTATCCCAGTTTTGGGCACATTATAAGCATTTACAAATAAATTATATATGATATATACACACACACATTCATAAGATACATAAAATTTGGGGATCTTTTTACATTATTGATTTGTGGGAGAGCTATTGATTTCTGTATATTTATCTTGTCTCCAGCCATCTCACTAAATTCTTTTATTCATTCCTGTATTGTTTCAGACAATTCTCTTAATTTTCTTAGTTATTCCATTGTATCATCTACACAAAGTTTATTTCTTTTGCAAACTATTATTCGTGCATTAGTGAATTACCTTCAACTTGTATTTGTTTGGAGGATAATATTTATCCTTGGAATCCAAGCTAGAATTGCCTATTACAAATAGGTTGTTTGTGGAGATGCGACCCACACTTTAAATTACCTCTACAGTTGAATAGGATGGTAATTGCGATGATTGCATAAGACCATTTGGAAATTAAAAAGTTGGATATTTAACCGACTAGGTGGAATAGAAAACGGGTGATTGTGTGTATGATTGAGTTTAATGGGCTGTTGATACGACCTCCATATTCCCCATGTGAAATCACGCATTTATTCCATCTTGAACCAAAGAAAGGTCAGAGAAGTTTAAATACACCCATCTTCCTCTCACATCTTACTATTGATTTGGAATATAAAATGGGTCTTGATTTCTAGAATTACTGATTATGTTTGTCACTCAGTAAACATTATGCATGTTTAAAAGTAAAGATCAAAGTATGGAGAGTATCTAATATATAGATCCTGGCATATGATAGGTGCTATAGATGGAATGTTTATGCCCCCCTCTCCCACCAAAAGCCTGGTGTTGAAATCCTAATCCCCTATGTGATGGTATTTAGAGGCAGGTCTTTGTAATTAGGTCATGAGAATGGTGCCCTCATTAACGGGATTAGTGTCCTTATAAAAGAGACCTCAGCACCTTTTTGCCCTTTCCCATCATGTAAGGACACAGCAAGAAGATAACTGTATATGAACCAGGAGGTGGGGCCTCACCAAACTCCAAACCTGCCTGAGCCTCAGTCATGGGCCTCCCAGCCTCCTAACTGTGAAAAATAAATGTTTTTGTTTAAGCCACCCAGCAGATGGGTGGGATTTTGGTTACAGCAGCCTGAACTGATAAGGACAATACGTATACAATAAACACAGCTTTCCCTCTCTTCCTTTTTAAATGCAAATGTCCAGGGACTATGGCCTAGTATTTTCAATCCCCAAATTGAAGTTCTTCTGCTGCTCAGGTAGGCCTACACAGTCTGTCTCCTCTCTCCTCTCCACCCTTTTCTTGTATGACATTTCCCTTCTTCCTTTACTCTAGCATTCAGATCTTGATCTTCCCCAAGCCTTTGAATTTTGAACTAATGAATGTTACAACTTCTGGCACATCATTTATGACAATGAACAATAAAACGATCGTGGCTTGAATTAGCAGAATCAGACACCAGATGCTGATGTTTCCTGATAGGAGGGTGGGGGTCCCTTGGGTGCTGAAGTCTTACATCTTAGGCATTGCTATAGATTGAATTGTGTCCCCTCCAAATTCATATGTTGAGGTCCTAATGCCCATTGTGACTATATTCAGAGACAGAGCCTGTAAAGAGGAATAAAAGTTAAATGAGATCTATAGGGCTGGTGTCCTTATAAGAAGAAGGCATCTCTCTCCCCGCCATGTGAGGCCACAGTGAGAAGCCAGCTGTCTACAAGCCAGGAAGAAAGCCCTCACAAAAACTGAATGTACCAGCACGTTGGTCTTAGACTTCCCAGACTCCAGAACCACCAGAAAATAAATTTCTGTTGTTTAAGTAAGCCACCCAGTCTCTGGTATTTTGTTATGACAGCCCCACCTGACTAATACAGGCATAAAGAGATGTTGTTTGTAAATGGTTCATGTGCCCTTCCAGCCCGCTGAAAGAGCATCTGGGACACAGGAGCAGCTGTAATTTTGACAGTTAGAAGACAGGCTTGGTTCCAGCCTGTTCCACATGTCTCATGTCCTCTTTGGACCAGTGTCTATCCAGATCATGGTCTTATGGTGAGTTGCAGATGTGGGAGAGAGTGAGCAAAATAGCTGATGTCTCTTGAGGCCTCATTCAAGAACTGACACATTGTCTCCGCCAGAAGATCTACTCACTCACTACCTTTCCACTTAGATGTCAGTTGTGTCCCGTGACCATCTCTAGCTGCAAGGGGTTTTGGGAAGTCAGGGAGTTAGCTTCTCCAGGCTCTAGAATGGGACATGGCAAAAGTGGGGGAAAATGAGTTGCAGAAGTCTAATGGAGCAGCAATCGAATGGCTGTTGGTAGAAAAATTGGAATTTCTACCCATACTTCAAGCCTCTTGGAGAACATTCTGTGGAGGAAGCTTGCATCCTTATTGCCATTGCTCAGATGCTCCTGAGTAGTTTATCTGGTTACTGAGAATGATGAAGGTGCACCTTCTTGTGTATAGTCTTTATCTGCTGGGGAAGCTTGTTTTTCTTGTTTCCTTCCTCTTGTTATTCCTCCTGCTGTTTCCCAGCTCCTCTGCTTAAGCAAAGGCATGAAGAGACTGGAACCTTGGAAGCAAGCAAAGGGATCCAGCTACCATTAAAGGAAGCTGGTGTTCTGATACATCCAGCTCATAGTTTTTAATTGGGTCAAGATTTTGGTTAGAGAAGAGCACCTCCAAACCTCAAGCCCTCAATTTTTGTGCTTTAACAGTTTACATGACAACTTCATATCCACTTAACATTTGACTTTAGGGGTCCAGCATTGCAAGAATTATTTCACCCCACTTTACAGACGAGAGAACTGAGCCAGCAGAGGGCAATGAGATACACAGAGCCAGCATCGGCATAGCCAGAACTCCAGCCCACTTTTTCTGCTGCAGTATGTGACACTGCCATTCCTAGGGCATTTATTCTACATTTCCTTGTGCCATCTCATCAGTTCTGCTCAGCCTGTAGTATCTGTTTGTGCATCCTGTTGTCATCCATCCTGTACCCCCCTTCAGCCCAGGAGAGCAATGTCTCAGCAATCAGTCAATGCTAATATGCCAGCAATTTCCCAGAGCTTTGTTGTTGAAGAGCCTTGTTTTGATTTATTATTCTAAGTGTGTTGCTTAGGCAACATTGATTAATGATCAATTTCTACATTACAAAATAATCATAGGGCCTGATAAAACTGTTCAGGAAGCAGAGACAGCTTCTTGAGCAGGTAGGAGATATCTTATACCAGATTGCCAGTGGCTTCCATTTTGCAGATTTTCAGTGGATGCTAGGCTGACTCTACATTTGAGGTTCTAGACTTCTTAAAGGGAGGACTGGCCATCAGGGTGCAGTTTCCTGCTTTGTTGTCTATGAGCACATTTTGGAGAGGGGGTGTTGCCAAGTGTAGTAGAATAGCTTTTGGCTCTGAGTTTTATTTTTTCCAGTGGCAAGCAATGCCTAGCACACACAGTAGGCTCTTAAATATTTGTGGATCAATGAATGCATGGACAGACCTTCGGGCAGTATGGACAGCTTTCTCAGCACTGGCTGGCCACAATTTCTTTCTGTAGGTTTCTCAGACATTCATTGGCAATGTAAAGGATTCCAAGAATCTCTGATTCCACAATGGTTGGGTAGGGCCCATGCACTTTGAATAGAGCACAATTTTTAAAGCACAATCTAGAGCACAATTCTTAGTAGTCTCTGAGATCCAACAGCTTGGGTTCAAATCTTGCTTCTCCCATCCTAGCTCAGGAACTTTAGGCAAGTTTTTACCCATTGAACCTCAGTTTCTTCACATGTAAAACAGGACTTCTATTGTCAATGTCTACTTCTTGGGTGGAGCAAGATTCAATGAATTAATACATGTTGAGTACTTAGTGCAGTGTCTGGCACCTAATAAGTCCTCGGTGGTTATTAGCTCTTATTTCTGTTTCACTCAAGACTTAATGAAGACAACTTCAAAATTAGCTGAGAAAGAATGAATCCACCCGATGGAATGAGAACTCAATCATTTGCTGTAGAATTAGTTCAAGTCAAATATTTACGGTAATCATGAAAGAAAGTACAGAGGGATTACCAAGACAGTCCGACTTGGCTACGAGAATACAGCTCATTTTTGTTGGCTTGGAGTTTGCTCTCCTTGGGTCCAGTATGTTCTGCTCATCCTGTTTGTGTTTCTGTCACTGTTCCTGGGCTTTCTGGTATATACTGGGACGGTGCTGGGGGATTCTTTGTTTCTGGACTTTCATCCTTAGTCTCTGATTTAGCAGTTTGTCAGAGTTCTGATTTTAATGACAAGGACTTTGGCTGCTGTGTTCCCAGACACCTGGCTTCCCTCCGATTCATTTTGCAAAGTGCATTATGTCTTTCCCCACGAAAGTTTATAGGTTTTTTGTTCACCTCTACACCTCTTAGTCTCATGCCTATCTTGGGACTTGCCCTTCTACAAATTGTTACTGGTAAAATGTTTAATTACTCTCATAATGCTAGAGAGTAAAATGCACAGATTTTTAAGGGTAAGGTTTCATGAGTTTGGCAAATATTTACAGCTGTATCATCCAAACTCCTATCAAGATATAGAGCACTGTCATCACCCCAGGAAGATCCCCAGTACCCATTTCTGGTCAATCTCCTTCCCCTTCAAAGGCAACGGACATTCTGTTTTCTATCTTTATAGATTGGTTTACTATATCCTTGAACTTCTTTTGCTCAGTCTTACTTACGTCTGTCAGATTTATCTTTGTTGTTTCCTGGATTAGAAGTTCCTTCCTTTTTATTGCTCAGTAGTGTTCTACTGCATGAATATTCTGTGGTTTATTTATCCATTCTTGTATCAATGAACATTTGGGCTGTTTCCAGTTTTCAACTCTTATAAACAAAGCTGAAATTAACATTCCTTTACAAGACTTTTTGTGGACATATGATTTCATTTACCTTTGTGGAGA